CTAGTAGAGTTTGATTTGTTCAATTACGAATAAATAAAAAATGTGAGAAATGTTGCCGACAAACCCGAGTACAGTCTATAAAATTCTAAGAAAATTTAAAACAACTCAATTAGAAGCAGGAGGTTGTCCGGATTTCTTTTTGGAAATACGGTATGCATTCTGACGTGACGGTCAGCCGCATAACTTGCGCCACCGCAGCTCAGCCGATAGCAGCGCGGCACTTCCAACGGTGGGCTCACAATCTGCAGAACTATAAACTATATGTCGCGTATTAATAGTCAAATGGTATACGGAACGAAAACAGAGCTCAAAACTCGAAGCTCACGGAGTCGCAGGGTATGCTTTTTTCGAACGCTCTCTGCTGATAAAAAAGGACGGAACGTGTTTTCTAAAAATCGAACACTCTGCGACCCCGTGGAAGCTCAAAACTCAAAACTTCAGGAACATTTTTTAAACTTTGTTTTTATTTAATACCAGCAAGCTGTAGCGCCTTCGGCGCGATTTCATCTATTTTTTTGTCATTCCACCATTCACCTTATCTTTAAGGGTCACGTAAATTGATACTTATTTTTCAAGCTTTTCAAAAGTCCACAGCGTGACACCAGGACCAACAGACGCGCTTAGTGTTTTATATATAAGGAAGATACTGTATTTCCTCTGAATGAAACGGGAAAAATTCTGAGGGTAGGGCAATTCGGGAGTACAAAGGGGTACAAAGTGATTTATGAGGACATCCGTAAAGCCATCGTCATCGGCTTCAGAAGTGGATGTTCCAAGGACCTCTTGGCGCAGCAGTTCAATGTTACTAAACGTGCCATCGAGAAGATCTTGAAGCAGTTTCGGGATGAGGTAATATTCGAAAATAGTATAGTTATGGAAAAAAAATGTTTAGGGAGCCTTGGTGGAGCGAAAATCGCCTGGAAGACCGCGTATCACGTCGAAGAACATGGATCGGAACATCGTCCGAGCTTCAAGAGAGGATCCCCAGAGGAGTTCTACGGACATTCAGATGGTCGTGAAGACTCCAAATGAAGTCACACCATCCCTGAGAACCGTCAGAAGACGTCTTCAAGATGCTGGACTCCATGGACGACGGCCAGCTAACAAACCATCGATC